CCAACATTAAGAACACGTTTGATGAATGACCGGTATCCATATACCAATTCTCACAAAAAGGGTATAATGACATAGCTTTCATTACCTGAGCAAGATCCATTGGAGTGTGTATGCATAAGAAGGGTTTTGTAAAGACGATTGTAACAACCATAAATTTTACGTTAAATTTAAATTTTTCAATCATAAATAAAAAAACCACATAGCATTGTTTACAAAATGTTTTTAAATCTTTTCCCATGAGTGTCCCAAAAATCATAACATAAGGATGGGGAGCGGTACGGTCACGCCTTCTCCTTTCCACGATCTCCTGAAGTACCTAAAACAATAAACTGAAAATTGTAAGCTGAAGAGCTTAGTGAGGTACCCCCAAAATACCAATACCACACTGATAATACCATAACAGTAATAATCAATTCAATCAACATACATACTGGGCCATCAGCTTGAATGGACCGCCCTACCGGGCCTACAGTCTGTCTGAATCCATCCCGAGCCTTCGGTATGACTGGTCCGCCACGTGGGCCTACAGTCCCCCCCCCCCCCCCCGCGGTTCGCTCATAGGGTATATTGGCCTTCAGCACAAAGCAGGATCGCCTCAACCCAGCCACAAGCAAATAACCATGTGCGCATACTATCATATACAAACATATATAAACATCAAAGTATCTGTCACACTGATCATCAGTCATAGAATTCTCCTGTAACTATAGTACCAACCTAGCAGGTCACTAACACACCAATCTTTACGGATCATAAAAGCATAACATACTGTCTACCTCGATTCCAAACTAACAAATCATAACCACATGCAACATACCATAACAATAACAACTAAAGGACCGGCCTTGGTGCCGTAGACCCTATCGAAAAAATGAGGATAATTCACCTCGTAGATGTCGACACGAAGGGTAAACTCCAACTCTGGGATCACTTGATACGGGCTCTACCACCTATCATCATAGTACAATATACTCATGAGTCCTTAATCTTATAAGGTACCCCATAACCTACTAGTCAATCCCTGGTCAAAGTCAAAGTTCTTAGTCAAAGTCAACTGTCCATGTTGACCTTAACTCGTCGAGTTCTCTGAAGTACAATCCAACTCTCCGAGTCATCGGGGTGACTCATCGAGTTCCTTTGACTCCCGCTCGAACTCTAAGGCCACCCGTCGAGTTCCCTCCTTGCAACTCGACGGATACACACTCATACATATCCAAGGGAAAACTCATCCGACTCGTCGAGTCTTATGACGATCTTCATCGGACTCGCCGAGTTGTTCATCTAACTCGTCGATTTTCTGACCATCTTCATATGACTCGTTGAGTCAACCTTGCGACTCGCCGAGTCCATTCAGTCATCTTTCCATACAGAGTTGTTTTGAACCATGCCGCGGCTCCAAATCCCAGATCCAAGCTTCTAGGGCATGCTTATCACGTAAAGTTGCAAACTTTACGTGCATGCATGGCCTTAAAGGCTCTAAATGTCTAATCTAAGGTTTTAATGGAACTTCATGCTCAAGAGGGACCTTAATCACAACCAAGACTGTGACTTTATGCTTCTCAAATCCAAGGAGGATCTAGATCTGAAGTTACAACTTCAGATCTAGCCCATAGCTCATCATACCAGCTTAAAATCCATAAAAATCCTAGAACTCAACAAAAGAGAAAAAGGGAAGTAGAAATGGCACTTTGATACCTCCAAAGGATGTTTGTTGAGGTAAATTCGGCCTCCCGCTCCTTCCTTGCTTCAATTTCCTTTGCACTCTTAGCTTACTTCCTCTAAAGTCTTCTTTTCAAGCTTCAACACCACACCAAGGCACACACACACGAATCAGGGTTTAAGGAGGCTCTCAAAGACTGTAAAGAGGCCAAAGGAGGCTAAGGCTCCTTTAAATAGAGGTGAAAACCACGGGCTTTAGGGTTTCCACTGCCAGCTCCTACTTGCTGAGTCCCAACATGGACTCGTCGAGTAGGTCACTTAAATCGGGGCGTTACAACGATGATGGTATTTTGTGGTCGAGCTCTAATTATTAGACGTGGGAGGACGAGTAGAAGGGGATGTTGGGAATGGGCACGAAGGCGTATACCTTTATTATTGGGCCAAGCCAATATAGGAAACAGGCCCCAAAAGAGGGATCGTTAGTTGTCGGTGTTTGGGTTGTAGAGACACCATCTACAACTATGATTGTCCCTTCCAGTTGATGGCCACCATGACCTCAAGTAGCATTGTTGCTATTGATGTTGTAGAGCAAGGATACAGTGAGGTTGCTTTGCGAAGGAAGTGATGTTGACGAAGGAGGGGCAATGACAGTGAAGAGAGCAAAGTTGGTAGTTGATGTGGGTCATTTTGCTTTATGTATTTCATCCAACACAAGCTTTGAATGTGCTTTATGGACATATTGTAATGGGTCAGATTATTGAATTGAAGTGGAAAGTTCATTACATGGTTCGATGTGACCGAAAACTAGTTCTAAGATGAGCTATTTTCGGAGAGAGGATAGTCAAAGAGAGATTTCAATTCCTCACTTTGTTCTTGGTATTGAAACTATTCCCATGAAAGCTTCTTCTTCTTATGATCTCAATAAGGATCTAACCTACAATCACTAAAAGAAATCAGGAAATTCTAAATCTTAATGCTATTGTCTTCATAAATTTCCTGCAAATTTCAAATTCACTAAGTCTAAGCATGATGATACTCAATCTTCTTTTCAATATGTGGTATCGTCATCATTGATTTCTCAAGATCATTTTTGAAAACTCATTCAACCCATCAATGCTAATAACGTGAATGCTTCTCCTTCAACTAGCCAAGTTAATTCCATAATCACTGATGAAGCAATGATTAACGAAGGAAAAACTTTATCGTTTAAACATTTTTTTGCAAATGTTTATAGATCTTCTGCATTATTACAAACACACAACTCCTGGATCATTGATTCAGGAGCTACAGATCATATGTGTTCTAATAAAGATCTTTGTCATCTCTTAATAAATCCAACCAACCTCACTCGATTGGTTTGGTTTGCCTAGTGGACAAAACACTCTCATTTCATTCTCTGGTGATGTAAAACTTCATAATTTCATTACATTACATAATGTTTTGTATGTTCCATGCTTCAAGTATAACCTTCTATCTGTTTCTAAAAATGTTGCACAATTGAATACCTTCATCATTCTTACTTCTTAATGATAAAGAGTGTCTCATGTCGGACCCTTTTGTCAAAGAATAAATTCTCTCTTGGCATTCTTAGACAACGCATAAATGATTAGTATGCATTTGGTCATCAAGATATTGCCAATAGTATTTCTTTTAAGTTTGATTTTTCTACTTTGAATTCCTGTAAAAAGTCTTATGTAATGTCTATAGTGCATTCTTGTAATAATCCTATGATTGTATCACTGAAGCAGTGCTTTGGCATAGACGATTTGGGCATTTACCTTTGGATAAACTCAAGAAATTGTCTCTTTTGTTTTTAAATGCTCATGATCATTATGTTAATACTTGATTGATTTGTTCTCAAGCAAAACAACACAAACTATCTTTTCCAAAAAGTCAAAAGGCATACATTGTTGAATTTAAACACTAAACAAATTTTCATATCTAGAGATATCAAATTTTTGAAGATGTTTTTTCATTACATCTATCATCAATTTAAGAGCATGCTTCTTCTGATTCTTCTTATCTCCCTTAATCTGTTCGTGAAGTCTTTACAAATGAGATTTCATTAGTGGGCTGATGTATCTAACCAAAATATCCTTTCTTCAAATAATGACCAAAATACCCTTGTTCTGAATCCATTAAACCCCCTTAAGACGTTCAACAAGAAACTCCAATCCATACCCTTTCTTAATGATCATATATTTGTGCACTAGCTCTCCAATTACTCACCATGATTGTTCCAAATTTGCTTTTCATGCTTCTCTTGTTCAAACGGAACATGCCCTTTCTACAATGAAGCACAAGGGGATCCAAAATGGGAAAATGCTCTGCAGAATGAATTCAAATCATTAGAAGTCAATCACACATGTGATGTTGTCAAAGTTTCTAAAGGAAAGAAGCCTATATCTTGTACATGGATCTATAAGATCAAATACAAATCAGATGGTACCACGGAACGTCATAAAGCTCATTTAGTGGCAAAGGGCTATACATAAAAACATAGAATTGATTATCACGAGATGTTTTTTCCTATTGTAAAATTCACTATTGTTTGAGCTGTTATTTCTTTGGTGTGAAAGGGGATGGAGAGTTCATTAGTTTGACATGAATAATGTTTTTTTGTATGGTGACTTGCATGAAGAAGTGTACATGAAAGCTCCTCCCGTTCTTCATGTTCCTTTTTCTTATGTTTGTTGATTGAAAAAATCTTTATATGAATTGAAACAAGCATCGTGTCAGTGGTATGCAAAATTGTCCATTTCCCTACAACCAAAAGGATTCAACCAATCTTTGAATGATCATTCACTATTTATGAAGAAAGTAAATGGAAGCATTATCATTATCATTGTTGCTATATATGTTGATGACATATTACTAACGGGGGACAATGGAGAGAATCCTGATGAAATATCAAATTTAAAAGCTTTTTTGGATGAACAATTCAAAATAAAGGATGTAGGATACATACATTTGTTTTTGGGATTGGAGTTTAATGAAACACCAAACACCAAATGGGGGGTTAACTTCATTAGTTAGATGCCATGTGTTCTATTAATAAGTTTGTTATGAAGTTAGTTAAGAAGTTTGTTGAGAGATTAGTTACATATAGATGTAGTTCATTTTGTTGTATTTGTAACTTTTGAGCAATTCATCAATCAAGAAATGTTTTCAGTCTCTCTTTGTTTCACTCAATCAAACAAAGGTGCATATGATACATTTTATATGCAATCAAACATATGAGACCGACTGTAATATCTTTATTTTACTCATAAACAACATTATAAATATAATCTTTTATCTACAAACATAATTGTAAAATGTTTTTTCTTTGTGTTGTGAAGTATGCAAGAGTTACTCGGGAAATATAAACTCCACTCGACTAATAACGTCAATAAAGTTGACGCACCTTCTCTCAATCTACAGGTTCTGTCCCTTGATCTTTGACCAACTTATTCATATTACATTAATTATTTCATTGGATATGTTCTGCATAGTAATATAGCTATTATTACAAGTAAAACAAAATTAGTATGGCTGTATGCACATTTGCTACTAATTCGATCATAGCATATAAATATGAATATTCAACTATCAAAGTAAAACACTATATATACATCTGTAGCTCCTGGAAAGCGAAGAGTCAAGGATGAGCAAAGAGGTACTTGACAAGAATCGAGAATTGAGGTATTATATCTTCGGTAATATATCTTCTTTCTTTTTTCCATAAATTGCAATAAAGTGAATTAACTTCATCACTAATTATGTATGATTTCGTCACTAAATACAGCCACCTACGTGGCGAGGACCTTAATGGATTAACTCTAGAGGAACTTCAACGTTTGGAGAGCTTGCTTGAAGGAGGCCTCCACCGTGTGCTCCAGACAAAGGTTATTATACTATCTTATATGAGTGAGTATATATGCAGTATTCACCGGGCTTTAAAGTGTTTCTTGTCCTGTTTCAGGATGAACGGATTGCAAACGAGATAGCGAGTCTTCAACAAAAGGTTATAGTGTTATATACTCAAACTAGAGTCCATTGTTGATTTTTAATTTCAAAATCATATATTACACATGCACGTTTTGAAGAAAAAAAAAAGGTAAGTACTACAGTTAAAATAAGCTGTGGTCGTATGTATGTAAAAGTATTGTTTCTATAAATACTAAAAGTTTTCATATAAAATTTGCAATTCAAAACTTTAAGGCTTTTTGATTTTGAAAGTCGAACAGGAACTCGTTTGTTTTAGGAAGAGCATCATTACTACGTCGGGTTATTATACACCTTTTTCTCAAAATCATTTAAAATTATACTAAGTTTGTCTCTCTTATGTCAAAAGATTTGACTCTGTAATTTCTAGAATTTGATTTTTATGCATTTTTAAGGTAATAAGATATTAAAAGAATTTCTATTTGAACCATGTTGCAGGGTTTTCAGTTGATGGAAGAGAACAAGCTCTTGAAACAACAAGCAAGATTCTTTTGTTTTTTAAATTATATATATATATATATATATATATATATATATATATATATATATATATATATATATATATGTGTGTGTGTGTGTGTGTGTGTGTTTATTAATCGTGATTAACGGAAAACATTTTCTTTGTTTATGTATGTCTAGATGATGAGTTTGACTTCGGTAGGCAAGAGGCCACGGACAACGGGTGCAGAGTTGGACAATATTGTAATTAACCCTGAAGATCAAGTGCAGTCATCGGAATCTGTTGCTACCAACGTATACAGTTGCAACAGTGGACCTCCGCCTGATCAGGATGATTGGTCTGATACATCGCTTAAACTAGCGTAAGCTCATTACACTTTCCTCAAAAAGTAAACCATTTTTCCTTAAGCGTACGTGGCAATTGCTTGGGATGATCAAGAAGTCAACCAAAGCCAATTAATTATGTACATGTCTATTTACCACTTTCTTCTATTTTTCATGCTTCATTTTATGGGTGTAAGCAAAGCCCAAATCGCTTCATACCATCTTAGACGGGGTTCAGAAAATTGAATTGTTAAATACCAAAGCCGGATAAAACATCGGTTAATTTCAACCATGATAGAACATGTACATGCATGGGTCTTCTATTTATATTTGTATTGTGTACAGGTTACCCTTTAATTGACAATGGCAAACCGTCGAGGAAAAGGAGAAGGGTGATGGATGGTGGTGGTGTTTGAAAGGAATAAGAAGTGTTGTATTGAATTAAGTGTGTAATTGCAATGCTTGGTTTTGTGCTTGTTCTATGAAAACAAAATGAAGACTTTAACTGGTATTTTGAAGGTTATCTATCTAGTTTCAATGTTTTCCACAAGAGAAAGGTTGATTTGAAATTTAGTTTCATGAAATCGAGAAAAAAGATAGTCTCAAGAACAAAAATTGGTCGAAAAACTAAAGTGGAATGACCATGAGGAACTATTGGACACCATGAGGAACTATTGGATCTTATTAAGTGCCCTGTAATGGAACTAGCTATCTAATTAATGGTTTGAGATGTAAAAATTTATATAAGAAGTGAACCTTGACACACGTAAAATACTGTTAGTATTCCTTGATTGATCTCATGTAGACTGTTTGGATAATACGGTGTACCATTTTTTTAATCTAAGTCTAGCTCACGATCCCCTTTATTTCTCTAGTAGCCATCCTATGATGAATGCTCCCTTTTATAACCTATTATTGTACAAAATTTGTGTTATAAATAATGAAGAACTAAAGAAACAATAAAAGAATACCAAGAACATACATATAGGTTGAAACTCTTGTAGTGAAACCGTACACAATGCAACTTGGTATATTAATGATGAAAGGTAAATATCATTATTGCTCAACAAAATGTCGGTTTTGTTTTGAATGGTCATTCATCTTTTTTTTTTTTTTTTTTTTTTTGTAGTTTACGGGTACAAAGTCAATTATTACCTGTAAATAAACGATGACTTATAATTGTCGGTTTTCATGACCATAGGGTTTTTCTCACTAAAATAATAAATAAAATTAAATCCACCTCACATCTTATCCAACCTTCTCTTCCACAACTTTTTTATCGATCCCAGTCACAAAAACCAACCAACACTCTCCCTCAAATAGCTTAAGATTAAACTCCATCATAATCGACTCAAGAAACTATTTTTTTCTCCATATAGGGTTGAGATAAATACAAACGTATATACAACATTAGAAACTTTGATCAACTAATCAAATACATTATGAAGTGAACTTCTCGTATGAGGTATGAACTCGAGAATGTCATCTAATCCCTGCACAACAATATATATATATATATATATATATATATATATATATATATATATATATATATATATATATATATATACCATACAACAATATCAACACCTCTGACTGTAATCGACGCTTTCGAATCTCGACTAGAATATTTTGACCAGTCACAAGCATATAAATCTAATTCTTTTTTCGACATAAGTTGATGATGATTTTGATGATTCAGGGATTCACGATAATCTGTTGCAAATGAAACTTTGAACATGTAATTTTCATAACCAATACACCACAAATTTAATCGAACATCTCCAAGAAACTAATATTTTTTATCTGAATTTGGGTAAATGGACATATATCCAATTTAGATAATACTTCATATCAAGCATTTAACAATTCTCACTTTTTTGGTTAACAAAATATGTAAAAACCTTGAGTCAAAATTATCGGAAGTTCTTCGGATCTGAGGAGATCGTATCTAATTGCTAGTGACTAGTCTTAACATACGGTTCAAAAATTTTGTTTTTAAATCATAAAAAACCCATAGTTAACAAATCATTTGATCCAAAAACATAAGTCATAGTATCAAATCAGAGTATCATATCAAAAGACATGTCAATACATCAGAGTAAAACATCCCTGACTAAACATAATGGTGTGTGCACTGTAGTCATCCCGAGCTCTTCCCTTTGCTACCAGAAGTAACTGAAACCAAAACTGAAAATTATAAGCACGAAGCTTAGTGAGTCTCTCCAAACTACCACATACCATACATAATCACATAATAACATAACATGGGCCTTGCCCGCTCATCGGGCCTCATCTGGCATCAGACAAGTCCGACATCGGGCCCCGCCCGGCATCGAGTAAAGCTTGGTATACATATAAGCATATCAACAAATACATAAATAATCATATAACATAAACATATAAACATTCCTCGGGCCCCGCCCGGTATCGGACCGAAATACAGAAACATACAAACATTCCTTTGGTTTTCCCCGGCATCGAACCGAAGTTCGAAAACATATAAAACAAGCACATGCAAGAATCACGAAGACATCAAGCATACAAACATTCCTTGAGCTTTCCCCAACATTAAACCGAAGTTCGAAAACACATAAACCTACATCGGGCACTGCCCGGCATCGGACCTTAGTCCGGAATAAACTAACATACATAAATGGGTCGGCATTGGTGTCTTCGACACGTTCCTACAGGAGGAAAAATCACCTCGCAAAGCTGAATGCGGAATCTCACGGTAATGAATCTCTAACGGCTTGTTACACCCCCGAACCAAGGATGGCGGAAACATCCGGGGATGGAGGACTTCATGTGTAGTATAATAACAACGAGTATAATAATGCTCAAAGTAAATAAAACCATCATAAATATAATTGAAAAAAGTTACACCATAGTATGAGTTTATATAATTCAAATTCAATTACAGTATGATGACAAAATGAACTGTTTGACGCCTTAGCATCCCATCCTCAAAAGTTGTGGGTTACTTGTTTTACTGATTTCCTGAGAATACAAGTAGTTTCGAAAAAGTGTCAACAATTAAGTTGGTGAGTTCATAAGCTTTTCAATGTAGAGTTTGAAAACCCTGGCTTCTACCAGCATGTATTGTATGTTTTGTTTGAAAATCTCTGGTTACCACCAGTATGAATTGTACTTTCTGTTTGAAAACTCTGGTTACCACCAGTATGTATAGTAGCTTTATTATTTGAAATAAAATTGAGTATTGTATCCCGAGTTTGAAAACCTTTGTTTGTAAATGTAATGAATACCCAAGAAAAATCCAATATTTTCCTTATAAAATGCTATGTAGTCTTAAATCCCAAGACCAAGTATATGCATATGTGTTTCGTACTTGAGACGATGTATGCAATTTTAAATATAAAACCCCTTTGTAAAGAAGAAATTTCCGTAAACTATATGTGTCGTTATCTCTTTATGTGAGTCGCTATAATCATACTATAACAAAGATGCTTGTTGTGACGTTCTTTAGGCGTTGGAATTGAAATGACATTTGTCACCCCCGATCGGCCGATCGGGCTGTTACAAGCAGCAAGGGTGTGGGTTCTCAATCCTAATATAGATCTATACACAATTATCATGCTCTCCCTACAAGAGACTCTGGTTATAACTATTTTCAGGAAATTTTAACTTGTACTCTAAGAGTACAATGAAGACGTGTCTCACAATTTACGATAACGAGTTTACGTGTAGTATGCATGTAAAAACCTTTTCTATGGTGGAATTGAAATCCCTTGTTGTTTTGTATGTTTGAAATGTGAAATCCCCAAACTATACCCTTTATAGTTTATTTTGTAGTAAATGAAAAACTCATTTGTATTGAGAGTAAAACCCTTTTTATGTAATATGCTTGTATTGGAAAATCCATAAACTATACCCATTTTAGTTTATCAAATATTAATTGAAACCCATTTGTATTGAGGGTAAAAACCCCTTTTGGTGTAAGTAGTAATTTAAGAAACACAACTATTCTTACTATGTTTCATCTTGTATGTTTGTAATGACAAAGGACTCTTGCAAATTAGTGAGAAGTTTTCTATTATTTAAATGTACAACAACAGAAAACATATGCAAAATATGAAGTCATCAAAGATATACACTTTGCTCAACATTTTACAAAGTGTTATGAAAGTTGTAAGTTGTTAACTAGTTTTTAACTTTTCTGCACTGTTTTGGTAAAATCATAGAATAATCATACGAGGTTGAAAACTGAATCCATAAACTCTAAGAGTTTTGAAAATGTGGCTAGTTTGTTGATAGTTTTTATTATGATTTTTAGATGTCTCTAACTTGTGTGAAAATGTCCATATTCACAGAATGGTTCGAATTCGTAGCCACAATGATAGACAGTTTTGTAAAAATCACCATAAATTGTAGAAAAATCATATGAACATGTGCAAGTAGTCATTTTAAAGTTATAAACCTGACATATTTTCATATTAAACATTTTTGAAAGATATTAAATTTAATATGGTCAAAACAGTCCGTCAATGGAACTAAACTTTCCTGTTGAAAGCTGATGTTTGAGTTTAGTTAAGTTTTTGGTGTTTTGACTTGTATTCTCCCCCTAAAACTTGAAAAAAACATGAAAATTTGGGGGGTATGAACTCACCTTGAGTGATTCCCTGAGATGAATGTAGAAGATGAGAGATTTCCAAGTTAAGACTTGGGAAGTTCTTGAAGATTTGAAGATCCTAGGCACAAATATGATGATATTTGTGTAAGAGATTCATGATTTGAGTGGAGAAGTATTGAGTATTCAAGTGTGGGATGAAGTTAATTACCAATTCTAGAGGATAATGCTCAAGAACAACCTTAAATTTTGAGTTTACAGAGAGAAAGTGAGAGAGAGAGAGAGAGAAATGGGTTTGCCTTTTGGTGATAGAGTGAGAAATATGGGAGGGGAGATAAGGATTTTCCTAGATATTTGATCAAGATAACTTGCTGTAAAGAGTGTGAGATGACAATTAGTTGACTAGATAGGGATGAATAGTGACTGAGGGTGGTCATAGAGTGGGTATGGGAGGTAGCTTGTGTCTTTGCTTTATAGAAAAGTCAACACCCCACCTCAATATCTCACCCAATAGATTTTATTCTTGGACAAGGATTTCCCTCAAAATATGATTAAATTATGAATATTTAGGGTCTTATATGCCAAAATATGAGTTTGGATGAAAATTCCACGTTAAAATCATGAAAAACGAGCTTAAAACGCGAAAAGGATCAAAAACTGGGTCTTAGAAATGAATATGAGAAGTTTGATCCTTGAGGACCAAGATGGAAGGTTCGGTCCTTGGTGCTTAGAACCGAAAGTGGCTGATCCGAGAAATCTCACAATCGAAAGTGTTGGGTGGGAAGCGAAGGCGAAGGCAGGCAAAACTTCAGTCTGAGAGGCCTGATCCGAACCGAAGGGCGACTTCTGTCCCATAAGTAGTTTCAGTCTTATGCAGTTCGGTGCTAGAGGTTCGGTTCTTAGGATTTCGGTCCTATAGGGTTGTTTTACCAATAAAATTCCTGTGTTGCTAATGTGTGTAAAACTCACTTAGTTTTAATCCTACTTTAATTATCAAATAACACACAAAAGGCAGTGAACCTATCAATTTTGGTATAGCTAAATAAGTAGGGTATCGAACATAGGGAACGGCAAATTAAATTAAAAACTAATTCTATCTAAGTTGATTAAGCAAATAGGGGTTTTTTCTCTAGTTTTACAAGACTAGAAACTTACTAACTAAAACTGATGCAAGACTAGAAAAGAACAAATTAACTAGATTCAATAATGGGAAAGAAACTTCTGTTTAGTTCAACTCGGTTAACTTTATGGTTGATTTTAAGGTAATAGTGCAATGGA